AGGGAGAGAGAGTCCGCACAAGCAGGGGGAGCAGCAGGCAGAGGGAGGAGCAGGTTGCTCATCAGGCAAGGACCCCGGGATCATGCCCTCAGCCGAAGGGGAGACACTGACAAAGGCAGACACTTAACCAACTGAGCCACCCAGGCATCCCTACAATCTCTTTTTAATACAGCATTTCCAAACTAATTTAACCCTGGAAACCTTTCTTCTTAGAATAGCTATTGATACTTAGGAAACACAAGTGGGGAAATGCTGGCTCAGGAAAAAGAAGATGGACATCCAGCCAGTTACAAAGGAGTAGATGCTAGGAGGAGGGTTTGTATCTTGCATTGTCCCCCATTTTCCCACCTCTCAATCCTTCCTGAAGAGCCAGTTCTGACTGGGCCAACTTTGCTTAGCCAAGAAGACAATTGAAATTCTAGTTTCCTTCTTGTTTTTCCTATCAAACTGTGCAGGAGAGAGCTAACATTAGGGTCAGAAGCCTGTGACAATACCAAGGCATTAGGGGCTGGCGATAGCCACCCTCAAAATCTTCATTATCTCATGAAATAAACAGACGGAATTTCAGTAGAAACACTGTATTACTTTGTAAATATAATTTCAAGACAAAAACCTCTGCCCCGCCCTACCAGATTGCTACCCCTAAGCCTCTCTCTTCCATTCACAGGCTCCTCAGCTAAGGTACGAAGAGGTTAATGTCTGGGTAGAAATGGTATTTCATGCATTCTAAATGCTACTAATTCATACCATAATGCTAAATTGGCTTGGATTTCACCTACTGACAGGTGGATCTAGTTGTAGTTTGTAATTTCTTTTCCTCAGTTGCTCATATTCATTATTTCTAGGGAGTCCCCTGTGTCCTGAGGTGGCAAAGTGTTTCTGAAGAGATGTTGTTTTTTCTCAGGCCACAGAAGCTCAATAGTCTTTTTGAGCTTATTTCTCAGTTTGGAATTAATATTCTGATCAGGCAATTTATATCTAGACCCTGCATCTACACGGCACAGACTTAGGATTTATATTTCTCAGAAGAGACTTTTCTATGTTCATGTATCAGACCCCAGACCCTTATACTCTACTACATTCCAAACAGTTCCACTCGGGTGTGTCACAGCTTCCTCAAACTCAACTTTCCAAAATTGAGCTCCTCCATATAGCCTATACTTCTCCAGCATTCCTCATTTCAGTAAAGAGTAACAGGTTGCCATGTATGGTGGTATAAGTAGTTCACTACACAAGGGACAAAAGGCAGCTGAAATTTAGCTTGCACGTTGCTTGGCAGGCAATGCATCAACAGGACTGTGTCCACCAAGAGGGCATCCTTCTCTAAGTGTATAAAGATACCCATGGGTTGGACACCACATGTCACCCTGGCAAGAAGACCACCATCCACCTTGTGGCCACTTGTCCCTTTCCCATATCTCCTCCGACCCACATCCATGTCATCTCAGTGTCTTGCACTTTGTTAGACCTCAAATCCATCTTCTTTGTGCCACTTCTGTAAGTTGCAAGATTTAGCAAATAAAAATACAGAACTCCCACTTAAACCTGAATTTCAATTTAAAAAAAAAACATAATTTTTAGTATAATTATGTCTCATGTGTCCATTCTGCCCCCCTTTCTAAAAGGACCCCAATTTGGGGGCACCTGGGTGGCTCAGTGGGTTAAATCCTCTGCCTTCGGCTCAGGTCATGATCCCAGGGTCCTGGGATCAAGCCCCGTTTCGGGCTCTCTTCTCGGCGGGGAGCCTGCTTCTCCCTCTCTCTCTGCCTGCCTCTCTGCCTACTTGTGATTTCTCTCTCTGTCAAATAAAATCTTTAAAAAAAAGGACCCCAATTTTTACTCTGACCCACACTGCACCCAAACAAAAGAACACATTTCTAAGCAGATGATCAGAGCCATGTGCACACCATCACTCCTGGAAGCTGTCCCCACACTGTTCCCATATTTGATGGTTGAGACCAATACATTTCCTCAGAAGACAAATCACTGGGACTTTTGGCTTCGCACTTGATATGAGGCTGTGTCCCTCCATGCACATTAAGAAGTGTTCTCACAGATGTATTTCTTACAAAGTCTGGGTTTGGAAGCCTCAGTGTTGGCTCCTCAAGTCAGTAGGGGCCCCCACATCCCTAGAGTAGGCTCAAGCCATAATCCTTCCTAGAGTTCCCCAGCATTGGAAGGACATCAAATGGGCTCCCACGTCCTTTCCCAGAGCCCACTGGAAACGTGGCCAGTTAGACCCCCTAAGAAGTACACCATTCCACATCAAGCCCATTGCTTAGTTTCAGGTCAAGGCATCACTCTGTCCTGATTTTCCAGTCTCTCAGTCACTGGCATAATCCAGAGGAATTCCAGCTCTAACATACTTCAGCAAGTCAAATCCTATAAATAAGGCTTTTATCTGCCCAACTTTTGAGGGCCAAATGCCTACGAACAAAAGAAAGCAGTCTAATCCAACTGGATACTCATACTGGAAATGCAGACAATGATTAGAATTATACAGAATATTCATAAATTGTGTGTGGGATTGTAGAAGTTTAACATCCTAATATCTTAATATTTTGACAACTGAGAGTGCAGAGACTGGAGAAACAGTCTTGGAATGGTCTTCATTTAGCTTATTTGGACTTAGGGACCACTAGCACTAAACAGAATATTCCCTCCAGGCCACAAGAGCCAGTTTTCATTTTTCCCAAGATCCGAAATTAGAATACCTTGCGTACAACGTCAAGTTGTTACTCTAATGCATTCACTTAGAAATGTCACATACAGGCGGTTTCTATTAAGACTGCAAGGTGCAGTTATTTAAAGAAATGAACACACACACACACACACACACACACACACACACACGCACGCACACCTGCACACTCATGCTATTTACCAAGGAACCTAAAGTGAGGTGAAGGGGATTTTCAAGCCTTTAAAGGTCCAACGTTTTTGAGCCTAGAATGAGGACTGGAACAGCTAGGACATCCATATATTTTTCCCACTTGGCCATTTGGTCTATGCCTTAGTCTCCCCAAAAGATGCATGCACGTGAATTTATGTCCTGCCCAAAGTTAGCAGCGGAACTCCTCAGCTGCCAGTGGTTGGCAATGCCAAGGAGTAAGAAAGACCTGACCACTCAGATGTGCCCACAGAGCACCCCAAATCCAGTGAATGCCCTGATTTCCAGGAGACGGAATGTGGCACTACAACTCCAGATCAATTATTCAATAGCGTTCTTTTATTAATCCTATCTCCTTCTGTTTAGAGCCATATGTAGGAATTACATAGAACTCTTTGAAATCTACAGGCTAATATACACCTTCTGAAACTGTCCTTCAGTTGGTTTCCTTAATACCTTTACTGCATAGGACTTCTTCCCTCCAAAACTGACAGTGCAGAGTGTTTCCTATTCCACTTAGATAATCCCATCTGGAAATTCCTGCAGAATCACTTTTTCCATTTCTACTATGTTCTCCATTATCCATCCACACGGGTGGTCACAAATGACATTTTTATATTTAAACTCATAGAAGCATAAAAAGTTGTTTTTTTCGGGAGTGCGTGTATTTGAGAAAATCTGTTGGCAACCTCTTTTTTCTTTCCTTTTCTAAATTGTTTTGTTTTATTTTCTTTTCTGGATTTTGTTGGGGACGGGAGTGAGCTTTGTGTCCCAGGGGCAAGAGAATCAGCCCAGAGGCATGTTGATGCTAACCGAAGAAGTGGTCAAACACAGTTGCTGGTGGTATGACTACCATGTTCTCTGCTAGTTGGTGCAAAGGCCAGTATGAAGACAGCGTGGATGTACTGGGTCCTAAACCTGCTTCCTTTACTTCGGCTATGTCTAGAGACAATGCTTTGCCAATGAACTAAATCATATCTCGTGTTTTGGGTATTTTGAGTGTCAGTCTGGGCCCCAATTCTTTCTTTCCACCTTAAGGTTTGGACAGACCAGACCTGCAACCCTCATTAGCCAACCAGCAGAGGTCTCCTTAGTAGAACAGATTGGCTACCAAGATGCTGAGTCATTGGGGGCACCTGGGTGGTTCAGTGTGTTAAGCCTCTGCCTTCAACTCAGGTCATGATCTCAGGGTCCTGGGATCGAGCCCCATATCAGGCTCTCTGCTCAGCGGGGAGCCTGCTTTCCCCCTCTCTCTGCTTGCCTCTCTGCCCACTTGTGATCTCTCTCTCTCTCTCTCTCTCTCTGTCAAATAAATAAATAAAATCTTTAAAAAAAAAAAGATGCTGAGTCATTGACTTGACAGCAGAGGGTGACAGCCTGGCCTGACTGTATACAGTTGGCTTTTGTTCCCATCTTTTTCTCCAGATATTTGCTTCTTGCCTCATTGAGGAAAGGCCCTAAGACTCAGGACTGGTCCTCATGGAGCTCTTGTCCTGTGTGGCCATGTAGACAAATGCTACAAAAGTGGAGAACAGCGATGCAGGACAATGGTATGAATGACCTGTGGAGATCCAGCCTTCACATTATTCTGACATGTACCAAGCAAATAGTAGAGAAAATCTCAAAATAGTATTAATGAGAACAATTTTACCAAATTAATGAAAGCCCCATGCCTGCATTTTACCAATGATTTGAGAGTATCCTTCGAAAACTAAATTTAACTGAATAAAACTGAAGGTGGGCCGTCTACCAGTAGAATTGCATCAGTGTTAAGTTCTCTGAATTCGATACTTATATGGCAACCATTGGAGAAGATCCTTGACCTCAGGAGATATATGTTAAATTATATAGTAAAGGACTATGATGGCAGCCACTCATTCTCAAATAATTCCACAAAACAATAAGAGTAACAAAAGAAAGAGAGAGAAGGCACCAAGTTTGACAAATGTTAACAGTTGTAGATTCTGGATGAAGGATATGTGGGGATTTGTTCATTGAATGAGTCTCACAACTTCTCTGTAAATTTGAAAGTTTTCAAAATATAAAGTTAAAAAGAGCACATCAAAGTCAAACGTTTGACCTAGAGCAGTCACACTGACAGAAGCGATCGATCAGAAGAGGCTCCCCTGACTACAGTCAGTACGGGTTCTATGGACCTGTTTCTGTTCAGGACTGTCTTGCGGAATCCAGAGAACCTGTGGATAGAGGCATGGAGTTAAAGGTTGTGCTCTGTTATAAGATTACCAGTGCTCAACCAACACACTCAACCAGTGATGCGTGGCCATGACATCAGCCCAAGGGACCACGTTGGGGCAAAGGACACCATCCACTCTGGGAGAGGCTTCGCCTTCTCTCCTCTCCACTGTGAAGCCTCTCAAAGGCCTTCTCTTCCAGGCTTGCCTCCAGTTTTTATACTGTTCTTTGAAGGTTCTTTAACCCACCAGGAGGGTATAAACTGTGCACCAAGGGGGACGCTGGTTGCCAGTTATCAAGCTCCTCCACCTCTCTTATCTCGTGCTTCAGCCTGTTGGCCTTCTCCTTCACCCAGAAAGGCAAGCTGTGGAAAGAAAACAACACTTGGGTTTGAGTTTGTGTGCAGCAAAATGGACAAATACCTTCAGGGGATCAGACACGGCATCCTCCAAAGCAAGAAGGCCCCCAATTTAGGAGACCAGCGATGACACAAACCATGTTAGTTGTTCAGCATTTCCCTCTTCCCCAGACCCAACTCTCTTTTCTGCCCTTCTCTGCCCAGAGACCTGACCCCTGCCACTTGCACCACCTTGACCCCACCATATGCCCCTAGCTTTCAGCCAGGCTTGGCTAACGCACCAGCAGGAGACCAGAAAGCAAGCAGAGGTTGGGGTATTTCTCACCTAGCTCCTCTACTCCTGCTATCTCCTGAGGTACCCCACTTCTGGCTGCGACTACACTCTCCACTGCCACAAACCCTTCCTGACAGCCATTCTCCATCTCCTGCCAAGCTGGGCAATGAAACCTTTGGGAGTGGTGACAGTGGTGACTGCCCAATCGAGAGAGCAGGGGACTTTGCCCTTCCATGCAATTTCCCTCCAGCTGTTTATCCATCCGGAAACAGTCCTTTCATTCTTCTCTCTTGAGAAGCCCACCTGAGTGTGCCTTCTGTTGTTTCGCTGTGGCCTCAGTTAAGTCAGACACCGGCATCCTCCCAAGTCCGCAGAGATTTGAAAGGACATATGCTGGCCTACACTGCGTGTGTTCCAGGAGGTACCAGGAATTGGGACTCCTGGGATGAGTCAGACATTCTTAATCTTTTCATCTTTTGGCAGCTACGGTTTTCATACATTTAGGGAGAAATGCACCATGACTGGGGGAAAAAATGCCCTGATAAATCTGCTAGTGATGGGGAAGTGCTTGCAGGAAGGAAACGGGATGACTACATAGGTAATAGGTGGGGGTCAAGGATATCACATAAAGCTGACAAACCAATACTAGAAGCCCAAACAAGACGAGCAGGCTCTTGTTTGGGCAATATAGAAAGATACTAGCAGAAAGCATCAGTAGAACAAAACAACAAGCATTCCCTAACATCGAAAGAAATCATTTTTTTTAACTTTTGTTGAAGCAATCAAAGAAAACAGACTCATGATAAAAATAATATAATACACATAATAATTGTAACAAAATATTATGACAGAATTGGGATCAAGTCTGTCAAACTGGGGCATCCGGGTGGCTTGGTCCTTGACCGTCTGTCTGCCTTCAACTCAGGTCATGATCCCAGGGTCTTGGGATCAAGCCCCACATCGGGCTCTCTGCTCAGCGGGGAGCCTGCTTCCCCCTCTCTCTCTGCCTGTCTCACTTCCTATTTGTGATTTCTGTCAACTAAATAAATAAAATCTTAAAAAAAAAAAAAAAAGCTCACAAGTTTGGAATAAAAGGCTTTTATTTCCACTGAGCTCCAGGGTTTGGTCTCTTCTCTCAGCCGGACGCTGGTAGATCAGACTGTGGGTCACTTGCCCACTCTAGCCATACTTACATGACACTGTTTTGCATTAGAAAGTGAAATTTTGGGGGCACCTGGATGGCGCCAGTTAATGCAGTTAATGGCATCAGTTAAATGTCTGCTTTCAGCTCAGGTCATGATCTTGGGGGTCCTTGGGTCGAGCCCTGCATCAGGCTCCCTGCTCCGCTTCTCCCTCTCCCTCTGTCCCTATCCTCAACTCATGTTCCTTCTATCTCTCTCTCAAATAAATAAAAATTTTAAAGTTAAATTACTTTAAGATTTATTTATTTATTTAAGAGAGAGAGAGAGAGAGAGAGAGAGAGAGCACAGACACACACAAGCAGGAGAGGGGCAAAGGGAAGGGCAGAGGAAGACAAGCAGACTCCCACTGAGCAGGGAGCCCAACACAGGCTCAATCCCAGGACCCTGAGGTCATCACCCAAACCAAAATCAAGAGTCGGTTGCCTAACAGACTGAGCCCCTGGGGTGCCCCTGGAAAGTGAAATTTTTTATGCTGACACATATCATTTTCTAGGTCTAAACCCTACTTGGGCAAATAAATGAGGTTCAGAATGATGGTGACCTTAAAATATGAGATCAGAAGAATGATATTTCCCTCAAACATGAAAATATTCAGATGGCTTTTCCTCTGCCTCTTCGAATTCTAACCATCCTCCTTGGCTGCACTCATTTAAGCATGGGTCTTTCTTTTCCAACAACTCTTGGGTTTTGAAAATCTTTTTGCTCCATATAAACCCCCCCACAGTGTTTACCTAGCACAACATGGGGCCTCTGGCAGACTGTCCATCTTACCTGCTGAAGATGTGGACAACCCAGCTGCCAGACTCCACAGCACTTGCCCTGCAAGTGCCTCACCAAAACTCTCCATACAAATTGCCCCACCTGCTGGAAGGCCAAAGGTCCCTCCGTGTTGGGGGCCTAGGAGCTCCTTCGTAGGAGAAAATTATAAATAACTAATAACTTCATAAAGATTGGATAATATAAAAACACGGTGCGAGAACTCACATAGGAATTTGTGGAAGAGGCTCTAGTGGAATAAATGTATCATATTTCTTTTCATAAGGCACTCTGAAAAACAGAACAGACAACCATCAAATTGGCATGGCTTCTATAGCAGAGAGACTGGTACATCATCGTGTTCAATAGAATGTTTAATTTTCTGGTTTTAATGGCCTCCTATGGGCCTCACAGCTATAAGGTCATAATTCTTATTATAATTTGTACTAAACACCATGAAAGCAAACGTGATCCATTTTTTTAAATATTAATGCAATATACCTACTATTTTTCTTTTAACATAACGAACCTCCCTTTCTCCTCAGTCACTTTGGTCTAAGTTTAGTTCCAAGTGTACATCAATTCAAACAGTAGTCACTGATGAACAATTTGATTCGATATGAAACTGAAAAGTCTTCAGACCTACAGTAACTACGATAGGGACAAAATTAACAACCACATTTTTGTAGTCAAGATCCTGTGTATAATTTCGGTTATGCACACACATATACGCGGACACTAAGGAACTAGAGATGAACTTTTCTAGGAATTGTCGGCAGCCATGCTTTGTTGGAATCTACTCCTTATGAAATATAACATATATAGTACAGAGAGATACAATTACTTTAAAATTAGTACAAGAGGGGCGCCTGGGTGGCTCAGTGGGTTAAAGCCTCTGCCTTCGGCTCAGGTCATGATCCCAGGGTCCTGGGATCGAGCCCCACATCGGGCTCTCTGCTCAGCAGGGAGCCTGCTTCCTCCTCTCTCTCTGCCTGCCTCTCTGCCTACTTGTGATCTCTGTCAAATAAATGAATAAAATCTTTTAAAAAAATAAAAATAAAATAAAAAATAAAATTAACAAAAGAATCGTAGTATTCATATACACTTACATGGAGAAATTCACTGGTGGGAGAGTTGATCCTGCTTTGTGGAAGTCTTTACTCTGTTCTGGATACATATATGGATTATCTCCTGGAGTTAACTTTGGTATTCCATTCCTAGGATCAATATCTGTGAATGATATTTAAAAACACAGGTGTGCCTGGGTGGCTCAGTCATTAAGCGTCTGCCTTCAGCTCAGGTTACAATCCCGGGGTCCTGGGATCAAGCCCTGCATCAGGCTTCCTGCTCGGTGGGGAGCCTGCTTCTCCCTCTCCCTCTACCTGCTGCTCCCCATATTTGTGCTGGCTCTCTCTCTCTTCAAATAAATGAATAAAACTTTTTAAAAAATTAAAAACATGATCATAAAAATGACTAAAGGTAATCCAAAGATAGGCTCTATCAATATGACAATGGAAACAAGATAATTTCATGTTTTCTTATGAGGTACATATTATTATTATGTTTGTGATTGTCTTGCCTTGAGAAGATGAAAAGTGTGCTTGAGAAACACTGTGTTTGGGAGACTTTCCAGAAAGTGCCATGATAAACCCCCCCCCCCGGGAAAGAAGAATCGCTTAGGTTCAGACGGGATATTTTGGTTTAAAGTGAATGGTGAATCAAAGGTATCTGCAAAGGGTAAGCAAGAAGTCTGCTTAAAATCTGAGCATTGGTGCTCTTTGAATCCCTGTATCCTATAAAGCTTAAGAAGCAAATGTAATTGGAATCAGTCTCTCTGACTAGATCTCAGAAGGAAATGAGCTAATGAGGAAGAGCTACAGAAGAAAAAAATTACATTTTCAGGTCAATTTCCCTACAATTTATAACCACAGACAACATTTTGTTCTTCGTTCTATGACAACAAATTAGGCCTTGAAGGAACTCCACCAATGGCCTGATCATAGCTAATGGGTTAGAGCCAACCGTTAATGAAACATATTTCAATTGTTTTTTTTTTCTATAATAAAGGTGTTGAATTTCAGTTTGTAATGGAAGCTGACTGGCAGTCATGATGCTGTCTCTCCATCTTATCCAAGAAATAACAAGAGAGAAGAGAATGTCATGAAAAGAAGAAATGTCCGGTGCCAAGCTTAACAGTATCAAGCACTGTAAGAGATTGAGGAAGAGAAAAAAATGGGAAAAGATCATTGTATTCTGGATTTAAAGAAGTCACTGCACATCACCTAAGAAGTAATCACACCTAAAGCGAATCAAGCCTACAGGTCCTACTATCGTTGTTTTTTGGTTTTGGTTTTTTTTTTTTTTTAATTATCTTTTTTTCAAAGATTTTGTTTATTTATTTGACAGACAGAGGTTACAAGTAGACAGAGAGGCAGGCAGAGAGAGGAAGGGAAGCAGGCTCCCCGCTGAGCAGAGAGCCGATGTGGGGCTCGATCCCAGGACCCTGGGATCATGACCTGAGCTGAAGGCAGAGGCTTAAACCCACTGAGCCACCCAGGCGCACCCCTACTATCAGTTTACAAGAAATACACAGGACAGAGAAACCTGTTAAATGGTACCAAGAAGTGTAATCGGCAAAATCCTGACTGGCAAACTCTACAGGATACATGATCTAGTTTCTTTCTTTTTTTTTTTTTAAGATGTTATTTATTTATTTGAGAGAGAGACAGAGTGAGTGAGAGAGCACACACAGGGGAGCAGCAGAGAGTGAGGGGAAGCAGACTCTCCACTGAACCATGATCCCAATGCAGGGCTCGATCCCAAGACCCTGAGATAATGACCTGAGCCAAAGGCAGACACCCAACCAAATGAGCCACCCAGGTGCCCATGACATAGTTTCTACACCAAATAAACTGCAAGGAAAGGGGGAGGACCTCTATTAAAAAAAGACTTGATGGATGCCTGGGTGGCTCAATCCATTGGGCTTCTGCCTTCGGCTCAGATCATGATTCTGGGGTCCTGGGATCCAGCCCCACATTGGGCTCCTTGCTCAGCAGAGAGACTGTTTCTCCCTCTCCCTCTGCCTGCAGCTACCTCTGCTTGTGCTCTCTCACTCTCCCTCTCTCTATGTGTCAAATAAATAAATAAAATATTTTTGAAAAAGAAATTTAAAATGTAAAGACAATACTCCATTTCTTTTTTTTTAAGATCTTATTTATTTATTTGACAGAGAGAGATCACAAGTAGGCAGAAAAGCAGGCAGAGAGAGAGGGGAAAGCAGGCTCCCTGCTGAGCAGAGAGCCAGATTCGGGGCTCGATCCAGGACCTTGAGATCATGACCTGAGCTGAAGGCAGAGGCTTTAACTCACTGAGCCACCCAGGCGCCCAACAATACTTCATTTCTTGAATGGAATAAGAAGCATGAAAGTGATTGTGATACTTTATTCTATACATTCAATAAATATTTCATAAGTGTATCTTTGCATTTATTCAGTACATATAAAGACCATAAAAGGAAGGAAGGAGGGAACAAAGGAATGAAGGAAGGATGGAAGGGAAATAAAAATGCACATAATTCAGGATAATGTTTACTTTGAGTTAGGAGGGAAGTGATGGGTTAGGATTAGGATTTGAGTCGATCGTGATAATCCCATTTATTTCTAACGAATACTTAACACTGGCCCAGTTCTAGGCAGTGAAATGGGGTGGATGGAAGTCTCCTAAAGACCATTTGAGAAAATTTTCCCTTTGTTCTAAAAGAGAAAGGCAACAAGAGAGATTCCTCTTTTTCATGTTTTGAAATAGAGATACAATGCTTGGAACAGCAACAGTTCTCTTGTGACCATAAGATGACAACTATGAAGACAAAAATCTAACACAGTCTGAGAATAGCAGCACAGAAAGACAAAATGAACCTGTGTCTTTGATGACATCATTGGGCAACCAGTCCACATAGGCCACCTAGATTTCAAAGCTTCTTGTTAAATATATAATAAATAACTTCAAAAAAAGCATGTAATATCTGGGGCACCTGGATGGCTCAGATGGTTAAGCATCTGCCTTCAGCTCAGGTCATGATCTCTGGGTCCTGGGATCGAGCCCCATATCAGGTTCCCTGCTCAGTAGGGAGTCCGCTTCTCCCTCTCCCCTGCCTCTCCCCCTGCTTGTATGCGCTCCCTCCCTCTCTCTCTCTCTCTCTCTCAAATGAATAAATAAAATCTGTTCAAAAAAACATATAATATCTTATGATTTAAGCCTCTGACAGTTTGGTTTTTGTCCTACTGTGGCCAAGAGCATCCTTAAGTACTATACAGCTAAACTTAGTCCCTTCCTGATTTTTCTCCATTATCTCATATTTAAATAAATCTTCCCCATTCTACCCAATGGCTGCATCTCAGTTGGGAGTGAGAAGTCAGGGTGTGCACAACAAGCTTACATGATATCAGGGCTCTGGGGTAAGGCTTTGGGTCCTGGGTCATGGACTGCAAAGCACATCAGTATCTGATACTCACCTTATCTCTGCTACTCTCTGAAAGCTGCCATTTATTTCTGTTGTCTGCTAAAACATGTCATCTAATCTGATCCCAGGAAGCCAGTCCCCTCCACAATGCATCAGGTGAAGCATCAATTTATTCTCCTACGATCCCTGGCTTGATGGTCCCCCGCCCCTCATACTGTGGTCTCCCAGCATTTCAGTTGCGAGACCAGAGCAGTTCTCCTGGCTGGCTCTCTGTTTCTTACTTTCTCTGTGTCCCAATCTTCACAGTCTTCACAGGGCACAAAAATGCAGCTATTCCTCTGCATCTCCTGGGTAGGTGAGACCTTGAGGCTGGCTTTCTGCCTAGATATTGCCCACAGCAGTCACACTACCCTGCTGCTCAGCCAGAGCAGATAACCACTTGACTCTGAAGCTTGAGATCTCGCCCAGCCACCCTTAGAGGCAGAAACCCAGCTAGGCTTTGGTGCTGGGCATCAAGCAGAATGCGGGACTCCCCAAAGCTCTCCCACCTCCTCTAGCATGGCTTCTTGTGTATCCTCTTGCCAGACAAAAGCCTTGATCTTTAAAACTATTTGTCTCTGCTCTGAGTTTAAAGCCTATGTTGAGGGGCACCTGGGTGGCTCAGTGGGTTGAGCCTCTGCCTTTGGCTCAGGTCATGATCTTGGGGTCCTGGGATCGAGCCCCGCATTGGGCTCTCCGCTCGGAAGGAAGCCTGCTTCCTCCCCGCTGCCCGCCTGCCTCTCTGCCTACTTGTGATCTCTCTCTCTGCGTCAAATAAATAAATAAAATCTTAAAAAAAAAAAAAAGGCCTATGTTGAAACTCAAAAATGAGAACTTTCTATTTTTTTCCGTCTGTATCCCTGTGACAGCAATCCATGAAGCATGGCATGGAAATACAGGTATTTCCAGAGAAGAATGTGCTATAATGGTCCTTGGGTACCCAGCAACCCTAGGATCTTTCCATAAATCTATTATGGGTAGGTTGGGACAGAGAACTCCCCATGTTCCAATCTCTCTCTCTCTCTCTCTATATATATATATACACTCATCTCAATTACCTTTAATTAAATAAGCTATGAAATAACAGCATGCACTTCAGGCTAAGGTTTAAGGGAATATTTTCCCTTTGAAGAATATAATGTACAATTTAAATACATATGATGGGCAGCAGCTAACTGAAACCTAAATTATTTTCTGGAGGCTTGAATGAAGGTTTCTATTAATAAGTATCTGAGAGAACTTATCTGAGGACTTAAATGTCACATTAGCATTTTATGAAATTCAGAGAAAAACAAAAATGTGGATCAGCATATGTTGTGAGTTCTTTGCCAGAAAGTGCAGTCTGCCAGCCATCCCCTTCACGTTCCCATCTTCCTGGCTGCGCTAGAGTGACATGGTGATCCCAGAGGGCGGATGCCAGCCATGGAATGTTGGACCTACAGAACCACAACTCAGGGAGTATTTTTAGGCATGGCACAGGCAAGGTCCAGGAGGAAAATATTACCGTATTTCTTCCTCCCAAAGCACTTGTCCACCATTCTCTCTGACAGAGACCTCCTGTTGCCGAGGAAGAGCCCATTAAAGAAACACTGCTTTCCGACATGGTAGGTGTGGATATTGCTGCTAAATCTTGGGTAAAATGTCCATTCTGGACGCTGCCCATCTTCTGCAAGACATCAGAAATCCTCCCATCAGCATCGCTCCCAGCCTCACATAACGCAGTTAAAATACAGGAAAGTTGTCCCAGGCATTCTCTGACTGGCTGTCCTTTATCAACGTGTATAAGCCCTTCGTTCTACATCAGGGGCAATGTCAACCTCTGACAGATGAGGCCTGAAAGGAAGGGAATTTGAGAGAAAGGGATCTAAGAGGCCTCTTTTTTCCCTTTTTACCTCGTCCAAAAATGAAGCCAATTTTTTAGTTGGAAGTGATGTATGGAATGGAAAGCTCTGAGACACTTTTACGTGTCTCAGAGCACCTACGATCCAACCTTCACGCTGATAAGTGGGTAGGAAGAAGAGAATGCCTATCAGGCAGGGAAGGGCCTGGCAACCACCCCAACTGGGCGGAAGAGCCCGTGGTGTTGGCAGCAACGGTGGCAGGAGCATGCATAAGAGTGACACGGGAAGATGTCTCCATGCAACTCGGGAAAGGAGAAAGGCCCCTGTGGGACCTCGGGCAGGTTGCTGGACCTGTCCGTGTCTTTGTTTCCTCATTCAGTACTTTTCTTATAAACCGCTAAAGCGATTTTAAACAATGAGAGATCCCCTAACAGCACTAGGGTTGCTTGAGAAGCCCTTGGGCTCTGTGATGGCCAAGAAAGCACACAGGCTCTGGAGGCTGGCAAGTTCCAATTCTAACCCAAACACCGTGTTCTCATATGAGTGACGAAGTGTCTCCAAGCTTCAGTGGACTTCCGCGTAAAATGGGTAGGTCTATATTAGCCACCTAGATTTATATGTGTGACACAGAAAGAGGTCCATGATCTATTTGCCTTGCGTGAAAATAGTTTATATCTTATTTTCCACGAGTGCAAATATGATTGTATATATAATACAACCCATATATGCCTGAGTACATGCATGCACGCACATTCATGTTTCAGAATTCCTCACAGATACAGGGCATAATGGAGATACTGTTGGAAGAACACTGGGAAGGGGTTTCTATACTCTAAATACTCCTTTATTATTTTAATGCTTTGCTATAGTACTTTTATGGTTTTTATAGAAATCCATTTTAGTTTTAGAAAATATATTTCCATATCATATATTTTATGACAATTTTAATATACATTTTATATGTATTTCATATTCAAAAGTATATTTCAGCAGAGTCACTGTGAGAATTAGAGATGAAGCATGTCCAGCCCCTGACGCTTCCTGTGTGAACAGTGCCCAACAGCACGACAGACTTCTGGAAAGCCCTGGGTGTGGAGGCACACAGGGAAGAGGCTATGACATACTCACTTGTCTGCAATTTAAGCAGACTGAACTCCTCACGATATTTATCCTTTGGCACTTCAGGCAATGAGGTTTCAGAGGAGTGATCAGAATGTGAGGAGGAGGATTTCAGACCCAAATCTGCAGCCAGGCTGGAAAGGAAGAAGAAGGATTAGATTCTTCCATGCGTTTAAATTGGTAGTCAGAACCTGATGTTACATATCTTACACTAGAATTACTCTCCCTTATGACAACTAGGTCTGGCCCCCATAAATTTCCACGACATATCATTTATTTACCCACAACTTGAGGGGACTGACACAGTGTGGTGTTTCCTCAAAAAAGTTAGAGAATTACCATATAACCCTGCAATTCCACTCCTAGTCATATACCCACAAAGAACTGAAAAATAGAGACTCTGATTCTTGTAAAGGAATGTTCTTTGCAGCATTACTCACATTAGCCACACAGTGGAGACCACCCAAATGCTCACTGACCAATGTATGGCGAAGCAAAAGTGGTATTGACATACAATGGAATATTATTCAGCCATTAAAAGGAATGGCGTTCTGATACATGCTGCAACATGAATGAAACTTTAAACATTGGTTAAGTGAAATAAGCCAAACACAAAAGGACAAACATTATAGGACTCCATTTATATGAAATACCTTAATAGGTAAATTCAGAGAGACAGAAAGTAGATCAGGTTAGTAGATTAGGGTAGATTAGAGTACCATGGTCGGCAGAGAGGGGAGAATGGGGAATTATTGCTTAATGGGTAGAATGTTTCTATTGGGACTGGTGAAAATATTTTTTTAAGATTTTTTAAATTTATTCATTTGACAGACAGAGATCACAAGCAGGCAGAGAAGCAGGCAGAGAGGGGAATACAGGTTTCCCGAGGAGCAGAGAGCCGGATGCGGGGCTTGATCTCAGGACCCTGAGATCATGACCTGAGCTGACCTGATATGACCTGAGCTGAAGGCTTAAACCACAGAGCCACCCAGGCACCCCACAACCGGTGAAAATGTTTTAAAAATAACAAGGATGGGGGAGCGTGGGTGGTTTAATCAGGTCATGATCTTGGGGTCTTGGGACTGAGCGCTGCAGGGAGCCTGCATCTCCCTCTCCCTCTGCTGCCCTCCCTGCTTGTGCTTGCTCTCTCTCTCTGTCAAATAAATAAATAAAATCCTTAAAAAAAAATAGCAGTGATGGTTGAAAGGTAATCAGTTCCAATGGGGAAAAATGGATAAAATGGCAAATGTTATGTTATATATAATTCTCCCCAATTAAAAAAAAAAAGAATGATGTACTGATACATGCTGTAACATAGATGAACCTTGAAAATGAAACACTGAATGAAAGAAGCCAGACACCAAAGGCCACATATTCCATTTATATGAAATGTCCAGAATAGGCAAGTCTACAGAGATAAGAAGGACATCAGCGGTTGTCTAGCGCTGGGGGGTTAGGGGACATGGTGGGAGTGATTGCTCAAGAGGATGGGCTTCTTTTTGGGGGTGATGAAATGTTCTAAAATTGATTGTGGTGATGGTTTAGTGAATACGTTAAAAACCACTGAGTTTGCACACTTTAGAAGGGTGAAGACTTTTTTTTCTCATGCACATAAAAAAAACATCAAATTGCAGACCTGTACCCCTGAAACAAATAATACATTATATGTTAAGTATAAAAATTTAAAATAAAAGTTAAAGAAAAATAAATAACATTAAGGGGCACCTGGCTGACTCCGTCTGTGGAACCCATGACTCTTGATCCCAGGGTTGTGAGTTCAAGCCTCACGTTGAGTGTAGAGATTACTTAAAAATAAATCTTTAAAAAAATGTTAATATTGATTCTCTAAGAGGTGGAACTACCATGAGTTTTATTCTTAATATTGTTTTTATACTTTCAAAATTTCTATGTGTACTTACTTTCCTTATAACAAAAGCCATTAGAAAAAAAAAAAAAAGTTCCAAAAAGAAAAAAAAAAGGCTCCAAAACTTTTACCGTGAAGAAATCTAAACAGAGGGGCCATCTGGGTGGCTCAGTTGGTTAAGCATCTGCCTTCAGCTCAGGTCATGATCCTGGAGTTCCGGGATTGAGTCCAGAGTTGGGCTCTCTGCTTAGCTCAGGGAATATGCTTCTCCCTCTGACCCTCCCCCTTCTCATGCTCTCTCTCGCTCGCTCAAATAAAATCTTTTAAAAAAAGAAAAAGAGGGGAGCCTAGGTGGCTCAGTGGGTTAAAGCCTCTGCCTTCGGCTCAGGTCATGATCCCAGGGTCCTGGGATCGAGCCCCACATTGGGCTCTCTGCTCAGCAGGAAGCCTGCTTCCTCCTCTCTCTCTCTCTGCCTGCCTCTCTGCCTACTTGTGATCTCTATCTGTCAAATAAATAAATAAAATCTTTTTTAAAAAATAAATAAGAAAAAGAAAAATCTAAACAGAGAAAAGTACTCACCACAAATAGCTTTACAAATAATTATAAAACCAGCCCTCCCGTCCACTCTTCCCCCCATCCATTGCTCTCCAGAAACCATTTGTGTGTCCCTATCCCCGAGAATTAATGACTATCCTGACTCTGACTCTTATAGTAATCATGGCTTTGCTTTTCTCTAAGATTTACCACCTAAGTATGTATTGCAAAAAATACAGCTTAGTTCACTTGCTTTTGAACTTCATAATGACAAGCATGTCTACAACACATATTGTGCATCATGGAATCTTCCAATCCCTTTCCATGTATTAACTCATTTAAACCTCAAAACAATTCTATGAAATATTATCTCCATTTTACAAAGTAAAGTCATTTTCCCAAGTTCACACAGATGAACTTGGCAGAGCTGGGGTTTGAACCTAGATAGTGTAGCTCTAGAATCCATGCTCTTGCCAAACATGTCATGCCACCTCTCAGAATATTGGCTTCCTGGTCAGAATTTACCCCGATAGTTATGGTCTTTATTGCACCCTTACTTACTCTAGGTGAGCAGACACTTTGCAGAGGCCTGGAGGCTCGCTCACACTAAGACATGTTTCAACAGAAGATGAGTGGCTGACCTTTCTGCCAGAGGATGTTGTGTTGGCAAAGCATCCCTTAGATTCCAGAAAATTGCTGTGTTTAGTACCTGCAACACATCACCATCGGATTTCATTACTGAAATGAAATGCCTAGCCCTCCCTCTTGTTCCCTAGATTATATAAATTATTTCTTCAAAACTAACATTTATTGAGCATGTACTGTGTATTGAGGATTACGTTAACATTTTACAAGCATTATCCCACTTAATTCCCATAACAGCCACAGAACTAAGTATTGCTTATCCTTCCATTTTACCAAAGAGCGAATTAAGGCACAGATGGTTAAGCAACTTGCCTATGATCACACAGAAAATTAACACTTCAGTCCAGATTTGATCACAGCTCTTGTGACACTAAAGTAAAAAATCCTAACCATATGCTAGACTACTTGACCCTCCAGAGTTTACCTACTTGGAATTAAGTGGAAGACATAACATCTGAATCAAGCTATCTATCTGTACATGGCATTGAGCATCTCAAAACAAACTTTCAAAGGATTACTCATGGAAAGATTGATGAATAATCCGAAGAACTACCATCAGAAACTTCCATGGGGGGCGCCTGGGTGTCTCAGTGGGTTAAAGCCTCTGCCTTCAGCTCAGGTCATGATCTCAGGGTCCTGGGATCGAGCCCCGCATTGGGCTCTCTGCTCATTGGGGAGCCTGCTTCCTCCTCCTCCTCTCTCTCTCTCTGCCTGCCTCTCCTCCTACTTGTGATCTCTATCAAATAAATAAATAAAATATTAAAAAAAAAAAAGAAACTTCCATGGGTTCCACACCCCCCCAACTGGAGCACTGTCATTAATTTACATATGCGTCTTCCCCACCAGACTTAGTACTATGTCTTACTCATCTTCGCAGCACCCAGAACAGTGCCTGACTCAAAACAGATGTTCAACACATATTTGAGCAAATAAATGAAAAAGAATTATAACTCCCCAAATTCCCCAAGTAAGAGAGTCCTGAAAGCCAGGCTTCTCAGATACAGAATCATAACCATTATCTTCACTCTGCTATACAATTACTGATTCGTGAAAGTCAGTCTGTTCTTTTGTCATTTTATAGAGCTGTGTGCCTGGCCAGTCACTTAAAAACAAAAAGTCAGAGGAATGGATATTGCATTTCTTTATGCATAATTTTATAGTGCATAGAAGCTCAATAGACATAATGTAACTTCTAGTTCTAAGAAAATTACAAAAAAGAGGAGTCAGATTTCTGTGATTCTTGAGTACATTCCCTTCCCCTCCCAGGATCTCTATTCTTGAGTTTTTCAGGGTATGGCATAAGGACTGCCTGCATCAGAATTATCTGAGAACTCTGTTAAAAATACAGATTCTTTTTTTTCATCTTTTTTTTTAAAGATTTTTTATTTACTTATTTGACAGAGAGAGATCACAAATAGGCAGAGAGGCAGGCAGAGAGAGAGGAGGAAGCAGGCTCCCTGCTGAGCAGAAAGCCCGATGCGGGGCTCGATCCCAGGACTCTGAGATCATGACCCAAGCCGAAGGCAGTGGCTTAACCCACTAAGCCACCCAGGTGCCCCAAAAATACAGATTCTTAAATCCCATCACAGACCCACTGAATTAGAATCTCTCTAAGTGAGGCCTGGGAATGTGCATTCTGAGCAAACCCTCCTTCCCCTGCGCCAGTTAGGCTCACTCACGTTCTGCAGTGATATTCCTCCTCTTCAAGTCTAGCTCCGCCACTGCTTTCAGTCCCAAGCCACTTCCTGATTCCCCAACTGCACAGTTTCTCGAATTTGCTAGGTCACGAGGATCACCTTGGGGCACTCGGTTCAACACTTGGATCCCAGAGCTCTGATCCAGACCTGCAAGGGAAGACCTGGGTGTCAGTACGGTTAAGAAGCACCTCAGCTGATTCTCAGAGCCGGCCAAGCATCGGAAGAGCTGTTCTGGAATGTGCCACAGCACCCAGAACAACCCCAAATAAAGAAAGGGTCACCTGGTTGCTTGATGTGTGAGCCCAGGGGAAGGGCTGAGAGAGACACGGAGCTGTGAAGGGGAGAGCACAGTTTCCCAGATTCCAAAAAGTAGTGTTCACAAACGTAACATAGACCACACTCTCTGACCACAATGCAATACAATTAGAAATCAATAATTAAAAAACAGCCAAAAAACATTCATAAGCTTGGAAACTCAAACCACACTTCTAAATAGCTCATGAAAATGAGGACAACACAATGGAATTCATGAGGTGCTTCATGGTCAATGACATAAGTACTATAAATCAAAACTTGTAGTTATCCAAGTAAAGCAGTAAGTAGAAACTAGAGCCTGAAATGCATTTACTGTAATCCTGTATTTCACTGAATATGAGGTTCTAGCATATCAGTATTTTATGTACCCAAAGAACGAAGGTTGCCAATTAAACTATGACAGAATGCTTTACTGCTTAAGAGTTTTTATTATATATTTATTGAAGCAGTCTTTCAAACTTACTTAGGTGTAGATTTTAAGCACCTGTCATTCATGCGCATGTTTTAAAAAGGAAAATATAAGCAAAAAAATTGGTTAAGTCATTCTTGCATTCAAAAGTGTGACTACTGAACCCTTTTTCAATGCAATCACTGATGCCACATTTCCCACCTAAGCTGACCTCAGTGCAACAAGCACATGGGTGATGCTTCACTTCTTAAATGAGTGCTCCTCAACTGCTTCTGGAATGTTCTTTCAAGACACAGACATACCTTCTGCATTATTCAGTGCTCATTCAGCAAAGTTTCTAACAATTATTTCACACCTGCTGCTTGGCCCACTGCACTAGGAAGACCAGTCCAACCTCAGAGATGCAAACTGAAAAATGTCCACCTTAGAATTGACAGATTATAGTATTTAAAAAAAAAAAAAAAGATTCCAGGGGTACCTGGGTGCTACAGTCAGTTAAACATCTGTCACGTGGTTTCAGCTCAGGTCACGATCTCAGCATCATGAGATCAAGCCCCCCACTGGGCTCTATGCTCAGCACAGAGTCTGCCTGAGATTCTCTCTTCCTCTCCTTCTACATCTTCCATTGGTCCTCTCTCTCTCTCTAAAACAAATAAGTAAATCTTTAAAAACAAATTAAAAAAACAAAGATTCCAGGACACGTGGGTGGCTCAGTTGGTTAAGTGGCTGCCTTCGGCTCAGGTCATGATCCCAGAGTCCTGGAATCAAATCCCACATTGGGTTCCTTGCTCAGTGGAGAGCCTTTGCCGCTCCCCCTGCTTGAGCCCACTCTCTCTCTCTGACAAATAGATAAATAAAATCTTAAAAAAAAAAAAAAGATTCCAAAATTAATGAGCTAAACTTGCAATGCAAGAAATAAGGGAAAAAAAATAAACCCCCCAAAATGATAAAAAAGGATACCATAACATAAAAACAGAAATGAATGAAATAAAAATTATTAGAATTATGGCTTCATGGGAAAAATGAATAATGTAGATAAACAAAGTTCAAGAAAAACCAATCTTTAAGAAAAGTAAACAGTATTAGCAATGAATTACCATAATTGCAAATAAAATAGAAATAACATTACACATAAAGAAATCAAGTGTCAAAAATGCCCAATTACTTGTTCAAGGTTACAGAGCTATAGAGTGTAATTTATAAAATGTATCTTGATGTTACAATAATCAAGATGGTACTGACACTAACCCTAACAGCTAAATCAAGAGAACAAAATAGAAAATGTAGGTAGAATAAAATTTTATATAATAGTGGCATTTTGGGGTGCCTGGATGGCTCAGTGGGTTAAAGCCTCTGCCTTCAGCTCAGGTCATGATCCCAGGGTCCTGGGATCGAGCCCCACATCAGGCTCTCTGCTCAGCAGGAAGCCTGCTTCCTCCTCTTTCTCTCTCTGCCTGCCTCTCTGCCTACTTGTGATCTCTGTCTGCCAAATAAATAAATAAAAATCTTAAAAAAAAAAAAAAAGTTGCATTTCATGTCCATGAGGAAAAAATGGATTATTCAAAAATATTGCTGAAACAATGAATTAACCATATGCAATGAAAATAAAATTAATTAGTTAATCCGCAGATAAATTCCAGATGACTTACAGATTTGAATATAAAACTTAAAATAAAGGATGTACCTGAAAAAGTGATAATTGATTGCTTATACAATCTTAGTTTGGGGAAGTTATTTCTAAGAAAGATATCAAATATAGGAAAATAAAGGAAAAGATGCATAAATTTGAATACTTATACATTTAAAACTTCCATAGCAAACTATAAACTGGGGGAAAGTTTACAGCATACACAATTAAGAAAAAGAACTAATAGTCATGACAAATTATGAGTTTTTATAAATTTACTAGATGAAATAAATACCCAAAGAGAAAAAAATGAGCAAAGGATGTGATTAGGTAATTCATTAAAACACACAGACACACACACACACACACACACACACACATAAATCGTTGATACACATTTGGAAAAAAATCCATCCTTCCTAGTAATCAAAGAGCTGAATTTAAAACAAGATAGCAGTATTTGCTTTGAGTTTGCAAATACCCAAGTTTGGCTCAGCTTGGAGGAGTAGCATTCTTATACATTGCTGGTGGAAACGTCTCCATCTCACTAAAAAGCACTTTGGTCATATGTAGCCTCCGAATCCTGTGAGAATGGCACTTTTGGTCCAGTGGTTCTACTTCTAGAAACATACCTATGAAAAAGGTATGAAGTTTATCTATAAGGATGCAGAAGGGATCCGCACGTGCAGACAAGAAATAAGAGCAAGAGTAGAGGGGTGCCTTGCGGTGCCTGGGTGGTTCAGTGGGTTAAGCCTCTGCCTTCGGCTCAGGTCATGATCTCAGGTTCCTGGGATCAAGCCCCACATCGGGCTCTCTGCTCAGCAGGGAGCCTGCTTCTGCCTCTCTTTCTGCCTGCCTCTCTGCCTACTTGTGATTCCTCTCTCAGTCAAATAAGTAAATAAAATCTTAAAAAAAAAAAAAAAAAGAGTAGAGGGGCACCTAGGTGGCTCAGTCAGTTAAACAGCTGTCTTCAGCTCAGGTCATGATCCCAGGCTCCTGGGATTGAACCCCACATCAGACTCCTTGCTCAGCGGGGAGCCTGCTTCTCCCCTCCTTGCCATTTCCCCTGCTTGTGCTTGCTCTGTCTCTCTCTCTCTCCCTTGCTCTGTGTCAAATGAATAAATAAAATCTTAAAAAAAAGAAAAAAAGCATTTACTTACAATGATTTTTGCCCATAGGTCTTAACAGTTTCAACAGCGGTTGCCTTTTTTTTTTTTTTTTAAGATTTATTTATTCATTTTAGAAGAGGAGGAGAGTGCATTGGGGGTGGGGGCAGAGGGAGAGGGGGAGAGGGAATTTTTTTTTTAAGATTTTATTTATTTGACAGAGAGAGAGCAAAAGAGCACAAACGGGGGAGCAGCAGAGGGAGAGGGAGAAGCAAGCTCCCTGCTAAGCCAAGAGCCCGATATGGGGCTCGATCCCAGGACCCTGGAATCATGACCTGAGCCAAAGGCAGTCATTTAACCACCTGAACCACCCAGGCATCCCAGAGAGAGAGAATCTTAAGCATCTTAAGCAGGCTCCACATCCAGCCCAGAGCCCAAAGTGAGGCTTGATCCCAGGACCCTGAAGTCATGACCTGAGCCGAAGTTAAGAATCAGATACTTAACCTACTGAGACACCTAGGGGCCCCAGTGGTTGCCTTTTCATAGCATGTAAACATTCTAACTGTATATTTGCTACTAGAGGACTTGAGAGTTCACCAAAGCAAGAATTGGTTGCTATGGATGGCATCACAAATTTCTAGGTTCATTTTTTTTAAATTTTAGGGGCAAAATTCGAACATATTATATAACCCTGAGCCGCAAACAGTGAAATCACTGCCTACAAATTTTGCATATTTCCTTCTTTGAGTAATAAGTTTTGTGTTGGTGGGACATCTGGGTGGCTCAGTCAGTTAAGCTTCTGCCTTTGGCTCGGGTCATGATCCCAGGGTCCTGGGATTGAGCCCCGCATCGGGGTTCTGCTTCTCGCTCTGTCTGCTGCTCCCGCTGCTTGTGCTCTTTCTCTGACAAATAAATAAATAAAAATATATTTAAGATTTTGTTTATTCATTTGACAGAGAGAGAGAAGGCAAGCAGAAACAGGGGGAGCAGCAGAAGGAGAGGGAGAAGCAGACTCCCCGCTGAGCAGGGACCCCCCCCCCCGATGTGGGGCTTTATCCCAAGACCCCAGGATTGTGACAGGAACCAAAGGGAGACGCTTAACCAACTGGGCATGCAGGCTCCCCAAATAAATAAATAAAATCTTAAGAAGACAAACAAGGAGGAGGAAGAGGAGGAGGAGGAGAAGTAGTAGTAGTAGTTTTATGTTAGCAAATGTCTAGAAGGTGGCTGCTGTAACAGGAAAGGCTTATCTGACAGCAAGGGTAGGAAGAGCAGTCTCTCTGCTAAACAGGCAGAGAGCACATCCTTCAAACAGCTGACTACAGGATCTTCCTAGAAGTAACTAACAGAGCTTAGAATACAACCCGGAGACACTTAAATATGTCTTCTGGGGCTTCTGGCTGCCTCTCCGCATCTCCTCAAAGAGAAGAGAGCTGAAATTACAAGTCTGACTCCTTCCATTCTGACAATGATGCTCCCATTGTGTAAAGTAACTTAAGTCATTCTAGCAAGTCAATTACCTCTCCAGCCTGGCTCCCCACACCTGCCCCACCTCTCTAGCTCTGGAGGCTCTGGTAATACAGAGAAGCTAAACAACATCCTTCTGAAAAGATCATCACCTTGCATGATCATTGTTATTCAAATTCAATGTCCAGTCAGCCAACCAATAGGAAACTAACAAGTTCACTAAACCGCTCTGACACAAGATGATTCAACTGAAAGGACCGAGAGAAGGTTCTGGCAACTAGAAAGGAATTCAGGGGGAAATGGGGAGTTAAGAAGAAAGTCTGTTTCTTTGGTACCATCTGTGGAATTCACGCTAATTATTTCCATGTCTTTAGTCAGGAATAACACCTTACATAACCAAGGAACTTTCGCACACTTGTCATCTCGGCTCATTTACACAATAGCATGGTCTGGCAGCAGAAAATAATACATCTAGCCAAGCTAGCTTAATGTGGATACCTTTTGAACAAACCACTCTGTTTCTCACCCGTTTCTTGACTCGACAAACAACCTGAGGGTCCACGACGGTGGTTTTTTAACCCTTTTTTGGATCACAGACTCCCCTGAGGAGTCATGAAAGCAATGGGCCCCCCTTCCTGGAAAAATGCATATACACCCCCAGTTTTGCATTCATCCTCAACAGGCTCATGGAGCCCCTTCCTTCCCGAAACCCATGGACTCCATGTTAAGCTGAGCTCAGATGTGGTCTCCTGAGGGGACATACCTACAGAGCAAAACAGGAAGTCATGGATCTTTGGGGATCTCAGGGTCTGGTGTTCTTCCAGTAACCCTAACTCAAAAACATGGAGCCCCTCTACTCCATCTTTAAAACCCCAGCTCCCTCCATTACCTCAGCTCAACCTAGAAACTATGGAAAAGTCTGGAGCTTAACATTAGAATCCCAAACCCTTTTTCTCCTTGCTGACCTAGCCACATCGGACCATTAATGGTTCTAACTCCTTCTGCTCTTCTGCTCTCCACTTACAGGTGGGTATGGAGAGTCACACCTCCCTTCTCTCCATGCACTTGTGAAGGAGAATGAGGAGATGGGAGCTCTGTAATACAAAAGACCGAGGACCAAGCTATGATCTGATGGGGCAGAGACAGAACATTCTAAAATGTTCCCTTTTTGCCACATGCAGGCCACTCACCTACAAATGCTCATACACTCACTCCAAGGTTTTCTGAGAGACAGTGGCTGTTCTGCCCCATGACCCTGTTCTCTAAAGGCCGTGGGCCCCCACACATCCTTCTCAGCCTTCAGAACCAATTAGGGAGCCACCATCCATGATCTAATGTAAACCTTTCTTTAAAGGGGTCATACTTTCCACCCAAGCTCTCCCATCCAATAAACAGTGCCACCAATCTAATGTCTGAGCAAGGAAAAACGAAAGGGCATAGGTTTGGGAGACCGGAAGACTGTGGTCAAATCTCAGCTTCTCCATTTATTGACTGAACCCTTGGGCAGGTCAAACCTCTGGCTCTCTTTATTCATTAGGAATATACCTCTGGGGCTGTTACAAGATCCCAGGAGGTAATTTGTAAGAACCTCTGCTTTGAACTACTATCTGCCTCATCCGATCTTGGGTTAAAGGGCAACCCTCTTGGGTCCCTCCTTCTTCAGGAGCTTTGTCCTATAACCCAATAAACTCTGCTTTAAAAAAAAAAAAAATCTTGGACTAACACAGACAAAGGCTACTATTTAAGGAGTTCTTTTTATACGCCGGCAAACTGGCCACCCTTTAAACTTGAAGTGTTTTGAACTTCCCAGCCTTGGTATATACTTGGATCTGGCGACCAAATCCACACCCGGCCCTCCCGACGAGTTCAACTCAACTGTGTCTCTTCTCCACTGTGGTCATGGCGGAGTCTCCTTTGTCTTGCCTTCGCCAGCTCTCTGCTGCAGGGCGCTCTGCAGATGGAGCGGAGAGGACAGTCCTGTGGACCATTTCCAGGGTACATGGACTCATCTACACGTGTGTTGATTTTAAGTATTAAAAGCAACCCGGAGACCAAGGAAAGACCCTTTTAAAGAAAGGCATCAATCAAAGCAAAAAAGGAGGAAGTCCACCGGCCATCAAGTCCAGAGGGCAGGGTTGGCGTCTTAATCAGAGCTTCCCTCGTTCCTCCCTCCCCCCGGGCTTTTCTCGGTTGGGACGTCCCCGGAGTTCCAGGGGGTTCTCTCCCCCGCCCAGACTCACTGCCCCGCCGGCGCCAAGTGCTCCTTCCCCTTCCACCTCCCGGGCTTCCACCCGGAGATCTCCACCGAGGATGCGGCCAGATCAACGCACCAACTGGCGGCAGAACTGCCGGGCGCCCGGCGGGCGAGGAACCCGAGCCGAGGGCGAGAGCGCAGCGGGGCTGCTGGCTTCCCGCGCGGAAGCGCGTTCCGGGGTTGCCAGGACACCAGCCCCGCGCTCCTCCGCCCTCGGTCGGCGCCGGGGTACCGGGAGGATCCGCGCTACCCTCCCCAGCCAGCAAGGGCGGACGGTGCAGGCCTGGACCGCTTCGAGGGCCGCTCAGGGTTGCTGGACTTTTTTTTTTTTTTTAAGAATTGTGGCTTTTCTCAAAGGCAGATTTCGTTATTGGAACTGTAGCCTCGGGTGGCAGTGAAGGATGGGCCGTGCACAGAGCTCGCAGATGCCTGTTCATAATTGGCCTTGATGAGGCAGGATCACCTACCACTTTTCTGGGCCAGGCGCCCTGCTGGATGTTATCTTCCCTAAGCAGCCAGCTGCATTTTTCAAAATAGAAAGCTGAATTTGAGCAAGGACTTGCTCAAGGTCACCCAAAAAAAAAAAAAAAAAACAAAACGAAGATTCATTTCCAAGTTTCCTCACTTGGAATCGACCACTCTTTCCATCATACCAACTTGAATGTGTCTCTAATGCGTTTAAGCATCTAATTAATCTTGCATGGAAAATTTTTCCCCAAGCCCGGTTTAAGTCCCTCAATTCAAATTCAGACCTAATTTCTCCCTTGGTGAAGTGTGGAAAAAATTAGACCATATTTTTCTTCTTCTTCTTCTTCTTTTTTAAAGATTGTATTTAAGTGACAGAGAGCAGGAGCAGGGTGAGGGGCAGTGGGAGAGGGAGAAGCAGACTTTTGGGTGACGGGGAACCCCACACAGGGCTGGATCCCAGGACCCAGAGGTCATGAGTGACCTGACCTGAGGTCAGCTGCTCAACGGCTCAATCCACTGAGCCACCCAAGTGCCCCCATGTTTTTATTCTCAATAACAATTTCTAATCAATTATAAAAGAAATAAATGGTTACTGCTGAAATCTTGGAAAATATAGAAAAACAGTGTTGACACCCAGGATCCCACAATCCTAATAAACCACTTTTTCTGGATATCTATGGTCATATAAGAAATCATCCCCAAACTCTGGGGCTTTAAACAACTATCATTATTATCTCCTGATTCTGGGAGTTAGCTAGGGTAAGGTGGGCTGTTCCTGCTTAGGGTATCTCATGAGGCTGCAGTCAGAAGGTGCCTGGAGCTTCCTGCTTCGTGTCTGGTGACACATGTTGGCCATCAGCTGGGACCTCAGCTAGGGCTTTGGCGTATACTTCTAGCAGGTTCTAGCAGGTTCCACAGCAAGGTCAATGGGAGATGGCCCCGTCTTTCGCCCCTGCAGGACCCTATTTCGTGTTCACGGACCTGGGCAGGGATCAGCTCTGAGAAGGGACAACAGACAGAAGGCTAGGAGGTGTAAGCAGGTGGGTGAGGCAGGTGGCTGCAAGCCCCAGCTAAGGAGGATCCATTCCTTCTCTCTCTTGGCTCTGATGCCTCCTGTGACCCCAAACCCTTGAAGGCAGCTGGGACAGCTCTAAGAAGTAGGTGCCCAGGGACTCAGAAGAAACCAGATACCAGACGGGGAATAGTATCAGATAAACTCTACTTCGTTCCTTTTGGCCAAGGCCAGACACAAAGTGCCTGAGAAATTTGAGCCTTGGAAGATGGCATTATCTGATGGCCAGAGTGGTCGGGGACGTTGGTAAAAAGCCTCTTGTGTTTGGTAAGCCTCAGGAGTTGCAAGCTAAATTGCCCTCTGTACGCATTGCAAACAGACCCTATAGGGGAGCCTCTCTTCTCCAATGTCAAGAAAAAGTCACGGCAAACCCTCCTTTAACATGTCTGTCCCGCAAACACCCAGCAGAGGGCAGTGTAAGCCAGGCCATGGGAAATACAAGTGGCCGGAGAGTTCACTGTTGCCTTCAGGCTGAGGCATCGCAGGGCCTCAGACAAAGAGGGCGCTGGGAAAATGGGGGCAGAGTGGATTACTGAAACCCAATCACCTTCGAAGACCTTCAGGGGTACGCAAGGGGGCTTGGCAGAGATGAGGGAGAGGGAACATTAATTACCTCAAAACCCGCAAACACTACCAGCACCCAAATCCTCAAAGAGCCTCACCATCCATTCAGGTCAGGAAACCGCTCCCAAGAACCTGCTACACGCAGGGCCGTGTGCTAGGGACAGGGATTCAAAGGTGAGTAGAGGGTCACCTGGGTGGCTCAGCGGGTTAAGCCTCTGCCTTTGGCTCAGGTCACGATCTCAGGGTCTTGGGATCAAGTCCTGCATTGGGCTCTCTGCTGGGTGGGGAGCCTGTTTCCTCCTCTCTCTCTGCCTGCCTCTCTGCGTACTTGTGATCTCTGTCTGTCAAATAAATAAATAAAAACCTTTTTTTAAAAAAAGATGAGTAGAGCTCAGCCCCTTCCATAGGGGAGGGCCTCTGATATGCCACTCTCTTCACCTTCATGATCTTAGTTAATCCTTACAATAGAAACCACGCTGCAAGAGCCATCCCCATTTTACAGATGAGGAAAGACAGACTCCAGGGGGTGAAGTAGCAGTCCAAGGAGTAAGTGACAAAGTTGGAGTGTAAACCCAGTCTCTCTAGATTCAGAGCCAAGAGTCTCACCGCTCCGTGAGCGCCTTCTTAGTATGTGCCCTGAGCAGGGAGAGGTCCATTTGCCATATCCTTACCAGCCAGGCTGTTCCCATCTTAAGCTGCCAGACTGCCTAGGAGACGGTGCTTGTCTCGACAAGCACAAAAATCCCTTTGGCCTGGGTATTGGAGTAACATAAACAAATAAGATTTTTAAATATATGTAACATATACAATGGAGCGCCTGGGTGGCTCAGTCGTTAAACATCTGCGTTCAGCTGGGATCATGATCCCAGTGTCCTGGGATGAGTTTTGCATGGGGCTTCCTGCTCAGTGGGGAGCCTGCTTCTCCCTCTCCCTCCCCCTACTTGTGTTCTCTCTCTCGCTGTGTGTCTCTCTGTCAAATAAAATCTTAAAACAAAAAAAAAGCATATACAATATATAAAACAGACACACAGAGTAAGGATACCAGCAAATGGAGTGTGAGGCCTGTTCTCTAGAGATCCAGAGTGGAGAAGCCTGAATTTGATGGGGTTGTTGTGGAATTCCTTGAATACCAGGTTTGACCCAATAGAAAATGGTCCCTGCAGATCCCCCAGTGGAAGAAGGAGGCGGAAAGTGGTGTGTGCTCTGTACCCTCATATCCTCCCTTTGCCCCTCCAGGTCCACTCCCCACTGTCCCACCCCACTCTGAGCCCAGAGGCTGACTGGTATGGAATGCATTCCCAGCAACCTTGGGAGGCAATGGAGAGAAGAGAGGGGAGGGAGAGGCAAGCTGCTCAGCTTCTGTGAGACTCAGTTTCCTCATCTCTAAAGGGGGATAATGGCAGTACCCACTCTGAAAGGTAATGGAGAGGCTTAATGAATAAACACACACAAAGCACTTAGAATGACATGCACGCGGTAAGAAGCCAGCAAGCGTGCACTTCTGTTAAGAGCATTTCCTGCTAGGACTGATTTCTATAATGAAATACAAACTCAAATAGGATGCAAGAGGAACTGAGCAGCATTTGGCCTGTTCTCTTGGGGAAGGAGAGAGGAGAGAAAACAGTAGAAGCAATATTCATTGTTGCAAGTTGTTGAAGAGCCAGAGGCCTTTGGGGAGGGAGGAAAGTCATCCTCCTCACCCGGCTCACCACACGCTCTGTGAAGAGAGCTGTTAAATCCCTTTGTGTCCCCAACCCAGGTAGTGAACAGGACCAAAGATAAAGAGCCTCTGGAAGGACTGCCTATGGGAAGCAAATGCTTTCTGGGGCAGATGGGCTCCTCAATACAGACTTGAAGAAAAAAATGTCAGAATGGCTGGGCAGGGAGCCCACTGATCTGGGAAATTCTCCCCCTGGAAAAGGAGAGCCCAAGACAGAACTAGAGCAATCATATATGGTAGATTAGGAAACTAAACACAAGTTAGGGTTTAGAGAACAGTCTAGCTAAAAATACCCCAGCTGAAGTTGTGAAAAAAGGTCATCTGATCCTTTTTATACAGCAGAGGTGTGACAAAGGGGTTACCCAGCTCATACGGGAAGAACCATCTAGAAAATAAAGTCACTCACAACCCAAGCTGGTAGTCAGGTGGGACATCCCACTGAGCTCTGGGTTGCTTCAGGTCCAACTCCACCTTGCTCTCCCCTACAAAGCTTCAAAATAAACAGACTTTCCTGAGGAAAAGAGAAGAGGAAAACAAAAGCCAGTGAAAAGCCAGTGGCTTTGGGCTGATGTGGCCTGAAGCAGAAAATAGTAAGTCGTGGGAGACCTGCTTTCTGCTCAGAGGACACCAGTGAGAGTGCAGGACTTGGTCACATGCTATAATCCATTGGATGGGACTCCTGTCTTTATGAAATATCTAGGCTCAGAAAAACAAGGTGTGTCCATTCCTTACCGAACACTGGATATCAGTTCTCGTTACAAAATGGCAGCATGGTCATTGGTGTTCATCCATGGAAGTCCTCACTTTGTGCTAGGCATTGTGGCGGGGGCTCAAAGCCTCTCACACCTCGGGACAAGCCTGTGCGGTAGGTACAATGAGTATTTCCATTCTCTCTGAAGAGATGAAGTAATTTCCCCAAGGTCACAGGACCTTACAGACCCCAGCCCACACCAGACCTATGTGCTTCAGAGGGCCCATCCCAGGAGCACCTGGCTGGCTGAGTCAGTAAAAGGTGCAACTCTTGATCTCGAGGTCA